ATAGCATCGTGGATAGCATGTTTCGGATGGGGCTACGGTTGAGGGAACAACCGACCATTCTCCTCCTCTTCGTGTAATTGCCTCGAGATCCCAACGCCTCCTCCTCCTCCTCCAATCCCTCCTCCCACCCCGCGGTTGCGCCTCGCCTGTTCAAGATGTCGCATGGCGACAGTATCCCATTCCATTCCTCCTCCCAGTCGGACATCGACGAGATCGAGAACCTCATCAACTCCGACGCCCTCTCCGCCACCGTCCCCACCGCCCGCCCTCCCAGCCCTCCCCGCGCATCCTTCCCCTCCGCCGCCCTTGCCCCTCCGTACCAGAAGGTGCCACGCTCCTTCTCCCTGCCACTTCCTCCACCGCCAGTCGACCCCTCCGCCGCCGGCCCACGCCCGGGTGGTGGGGTTGCCGCTGACGGCTTCGGTTCGCCGACGGACACCCTCACCGAGCCCGTGTTGGATACGGTAAAGCGGGATCTAACGCGGATCGTTATCAATCTGAAACTGGTGGTGTTCCCCAATCCGTTCAGAGAGGATCCCGGGAAGGCGCTGAGGGATTGGGATCTATGGGGGCCCTTCTTCTTCATCATCTTCCTCGGGCTCACCCTGTCATGGTCGGCGTCCGTGAAGAAGGTAATTGAACGCCGGATCTTCCTACATTTTCTTCTTAATCGTTTATAACTCGGATAAATAATTATTGGTGATGATGCCATGTTTTCTTCATCTGAATACATCAGTAGATGGGAATACTGAAGATAAATGAGTCTAAAAAATGTATTCTAATTTTTTTTGGTTCTTGACAAGATATCTATTCCCTTTGAATTGAATCGGTGATCGGAAGCCCAATCAGAATTAGGGAAGCTCTTTCCCTCGTATTAGTTTCTCTGATAGTTTAGTGCCATGTTTTCGAACGCGATATCAGGGAAGCTCCATTGCCGATGGCTTACATGTCCTGCATCTTCTTTATACTTTGTTACAGTCCCAAGTCTTTGCCGTTGCATTTGCGGTCCTTGCTGCCGGTGCCGTGATCCTGACGATGAACGTTTTGCTTCTGGTAAGCAGTTCACATTTGCTCCATTATTTGCAGCATGAGTTCCAACATCTTTTCTTTGATCGTGTTCCTTCACTCTAACAGGGTGGGCGCATCATCTTCTTTCAGAGTCTGAGTCTTCTTGGCTACTGCCTCTTCCCTTTGGACATTGGAGCTCTAATTTGCTCGCTGAAAATTAATGTTGTAGTCAAGATAATTGTGGTGTCAATAACATTGGCATGGAGCTACTGGGCAGCATATCCATTTATGAGCGCCGCGGTTGATCCAAGAAGAAAGGCATTGGCCCTCTACCCGGTTTTCCTCATGTATATATCTGTTGGCTTTTTTATCATCGCAATAGATTAGGGAATCAGGAGATGATGATGATGATGATGGCGTGGTTGACAACATGGCTTCTGGGCTTCAAGTGCCTTTTTCATGGAACCAGCAAGAGATATGGGCTTCTTAGTAGTCTTAGATTGATTGCGGATTTGGGGAGCTAATTTCCTCGTCGATTCAAAGTTCTAATACGTGTGTGTTGTCTTGTGAATTATTTTGACGTCGAATATACAGCAAAATAATAGAATTATTATGCAGTGTCGGTTACGCTGCGGCAGTCTCTACTGAAGCAGACATCCCGAGTTGCCCTCGAGGAGATTAAGCTAAGGTCCATCGATGCTTCTTCCGACTCTGGACACGTGCGCTTCCCGACGATGCGGGAGTAGTAGAAGTTTTATGGTGGCCTCATAATCGGATCCGGGTCGACTTCATCGTCTCGCTAACGATTATAATCGGATCCATTCGAGGATCCATCAAACGTCTCATCGCAGCATCCGAACCGACACTGTATAACGCACTCTCTCTCTCCCGAGGGCAGTTTGTTCGTTTCGAGGGATTGGGAGAGAGGCGAGAGAGAAGTCCCAGCCAAGCCCTATCGATGTCTCTCCGGCGGATGCGGTTGAATCTTCAAGATCCCTAGGCGATCCCTCGCCGCTGTCGCTATAGGTAATTTCTGGCGATCCGTGTTAGATTTCGCGTTCAATGGGATCTCATTCCCCCTTTTTTTTTGTGGATGAAATGGACGATTCCCTTTTTGTTACGGAAGAAAATATTGCAATTCGTTGAATTCCGTGATCTTTGTTGTTTCTTGGACACGATGACTCATTATGGTGTAGAATGGATGATAAAGATACAAGGGTTTGGGTTCGGGATCTCATGATCGCTATGGTTTCTCGGACTCTGATTTTTCTTGCTCGGTTGTTTTGTGCGTTTGTCTGTGTTGCGTTTACGTGATGATGTAGAATGGATGATAAAGATCGAGGGTTTTTTGGTTTCGGATCTATGATCTTTGTGGC